CTCAATGACAAGGATATATTGCACAAGATGTTCTTCATTTTATAAAATGCAGTTTTTGCCTGTCCTATTCTGTTTATTATCTCAGTTATGCATCTTCCATCTGAAGTTATCCATGTGCCCAGATACTTAAATTTCTGTACTTCTCCTAAAATATCACAATCGACTTTTATTACACATTTAGGAATAATTCGTTTCTTTGATACCACCATTACTTCTGTCTTCCCATTATTCAAACTGAGGCCCATTCTTCCACTTTCTAACACCACAATGTCTATCATTTCCTGTAGTTCTTTCTGACTTGTTGCTATCAAAACTGTGTCATCAGCATAACGTAAATTGTTTATATTGTGCCCACCAACCACAATTCCGTGCATACCAATTAAAGCTCTCATTATATATTCACTGCATATTGAAAACAAATCAGGTGACAGTACACGTCCTTGTCTTACGCCCCTCTTTATGCTTTGAAATGTACCTAAACAGTTGTTAATTCTTATAGCTGCTGTTTTCTGCCAATACATAATCTTTATTATTCGTAGATCTTTCCCATTAATGTTTATTTTTTCTAACAGTTTGATTACTTCTTCATGCTTCACACAGTCAAATGCTTTTGTATAGTCTATGAAGCATATGTACAAATCAGTCTTTACTTCTATAACTCTTTCTGACAATGTCCTTAGGATGTAAATGGTATTGTTTGTACCTTTTCCTTCTACAAATCTACATTTTTCATCGCTGATTTCTGGTTTAATTTTGTTTTTTTATTCTTCTCATAATTATTCTCAGTAAAATCTTAGTCATGTGACTCATAAGACTTATTGTGCGATGGTCTTCACATTTTAAAGTGCCTGGTTTCTTTGGCAGAGCTATAAAAATGGATTTTAAAAAGTCATTTGGAATATACCCACTATTATAAATATCATTTAAAAGTTTAGTTATTATTTCAATTCCAAAATCTCCCAGTGCTTCGATTTCTTCCAGTAAGATGTTGTCTGACCCGGGTGCTTTTCCTTTCTTCATATGATGTATTGCATCCTCAACTTCTGCAGTCATTATTGGTGGACCATTATTGTTGGTCTGCAGTTCTACACCTGGTCTATTATCATCACACAATTCCCATATATACTCTGTCCATCTGTTAATTATATTACTATGCCCCATTAAAAAGTCACCATCTTTTGATTTCAAACATCCAGTGCTGTTACGTGTCATCTTTCCTGTTAACATATTTATCTGTTGGTACATGGAATGTGAGTCTTTCCTGTGATTTTCCCCAATCTCTGTACACATTTGATTCAGCCAGGCTTCTTTAGCCACTTTGCATTTGTTCACTATTTCTTTTTGTATTCTAGAATATTCTTCTTTATCATTCTTTTTCTTCCTTCTTTCATCCAACAACTGCAGAATTTCGGTTGACATCCATCTCGAGGGGTTGGTGGGATTGTCTCTTTTGATGTCTGCTGAATTGACTCACGCAACATATCCCACTGTTCATCAATAGTCTGTATAATTTCCATTGCATTATACAGTTTTTGTAGAGGGACATTGTATTGTTCCTTAATTTCTTTTTCTGTTCTAAGAATTCCTAAATTTAACTTGATGTTTTGTGGTGTTTTTCTAATGTTCTTTAGTTTTATTCTAATTTTTCATACAACTGGAACATGGACACTAAAGCAGTTTGCTTCTGGTCTAGTTTTTTTTACTAAGCTGCTCCGATCAGCAATTTCTAAAATAAATCCAAATGTTTGTGCTTAAACAATTTGTAATAGGAGGTTGGGGGGGGGGGGGGGGGGATTGGATGGCTAGGGGCTGAGAGAGCGCCTCGAAGAAGGTGTTTATACATTGAAAGGAAGACTGGTGCACTTGCAACAGCTTGTTCTTCCAAGAGTCATGCCCAAACTTGCCTTGAAGAAGACACCCGGAAGATTAATTAGTAAATCTCAAACTACCGGTGAATTAGTGAATTAATAATTAACACCACAGTACTCGGTACATTCGCACACGTACCCCGTTTTCTCGCTCGGTAAGCAACAAAGAATTAGCAAGTTGTAACCTAATTAAAAGTTAACCTAATTTTTCCGCCTTGTATTGGTTGTCTGATCTCTAGCCTCTCTACTTTCTCCTTGTTGAATCAATCTTTGCGGGTATGGATATTCTGTTCTTTACTATCCTTGTGATTCCAAAACGTCCGTAGCATGCCTGCCTGATCATGAAGTAGTAACTTAACACAATGCAAATTATGACTATGGTGCGCAAAATAGAAATGGAACACATCAAAAACAACATCTCGACCAACGTCTATTTGTACTGCAAGAAGAAATAAAGGAATGTAAGGAAAAAATATTAATGATCAATAAATTAAACGGAGAAACGAATTATTGAGTAAAGGAGAAAAGAAGGAAATGACATGGGGTGAGATGTAGTTTTACAAAAGATAGGTCGACGTAGCGTGAGTTGGTTAAGGGCTTTTGCTCCATTGTAGGAAGAAGAAGAAAAAGAAAAGTACAACGACGAAGCAGAAGAAAAAGAATTATTATTTCGTTTGCTTTTTTCTTTTGTATTTAAAAAATAAAATTTTTTTTCGCTTCTGTACGCACCTTGCAACCAGTAGAAGAACTGAATTATTTATTTTTTAGTGCTTATTTATAACCCTGCAAAAAAAAAAAAAAAAGAGATTATTTGTGTTTAAATATCAGCTGTGTTGCACAGGCTAATAGTCACTGTAAAGACTCTGCGTTGTCCACCTGTCCCAGCCTTTGCCTTCTCCTGCTTTGTAGCCGTTGTTCTGCACTTGTTCTCTCACGTGTGTAGTATTTCAAGCTTTTCACACACACACACACACGCACGCACGCACGCACACACACACACACACGCACACGCGCGCACGTACGCACGCACGCGCACACACACCTCTCCCTCTCTCTAGTTGACCAAATCGCTTTTTTCTTCGTCTATGTATAAAAAAAAAATCCTTGCGCTGGAACCCACAGGGTCGAATTACTAAAGGCAGAACATAGAGCACACAGAGGAGAGAATCGGTTAGAAAAATGAGTTAAACAATGCGTTTGTCCTGTGGATTGAACTGCCTGCATGTAAATAACTGGGTGATTTGACGAGTTAGCTGAGATGACATTTGGGGAAAAACAATTTATTGAACAATATCATTTTCAGCTTAAAAAAATAAAAAAGTAATTTTTGACGTTTGTCTTGAAGTGTGTGCAAGTAAGTTCAAATTGAAATACAAACAGGTAATGACCATGTGTTTAAAATTGAGAACTATAACGCCAGAATGTGCACGAAATATGTTTTATTTCTTAAATGTATACATGGTTTACAAACACAAATATACGAACATAAAACTGTGCGTTCATACAAAGTTTTGTCATTCCGCCGATGGTGATGAGTTCTGAAGTAATTTATACAAACGTATTCACTTTTCAAGAATTATTTTACACATTGGTGACCGGGTCGCCTATTAGCTGGCCAGTAGACGACATCGTCGCCGGTCGGACCAGTATTTGGGTCTGTCTCTTTTGATCGCATCAACAATGCAGCAGTCCTTTATATGGCGCAAATAACCGAGTCACAATTGTAACCAAAAGCTCCTCCATCGGGGACGCTGGCTGAACGTGATGATTTTTCCCGCAAAAAAGCAAGAATTATTGTTAACATCATCATCATGTGCCATGCCAGTAGGCTGTCGTAGGCTGTCTGTTTCTCACACGATCGACAGAATCACGGAGAGAATTACTCTTACATCCTGTTAATTTATTCTCCTATAAACGACACACACACAGAGAGAATTACCGCTATTGGCGTATCAGACTCATATTTCTATAGACAACAGATGATGTGCTTCCAATAACACAGTCCACTTTTGCTTCCCATGAAATTACCTGGTACCCATTAAAGATTGTGTTTACCTCTGGGACCAGAGGTCTATTTTTGGGAAAATAAAATTCCCTATCGATGCAGATTTGAACCCAAAGCCTTTCAGACAGGCAATCTAGTGTCTAGCCACTACATTTCCGCTGCTCCTGTTGCCCACAAGCCCGGTGTTTTTAAATTTATATATTTTTTAAAACTATACATGACGTAAACCTTCTAAATCTCTTTTTATATCTTTTGTTTCCAAGGGCATACATTTTGCTTATCTAGTCAGGTATTATGTTTTCGTAGACATGCTTTTGTCTACTGTATTCAAACACATCCTCAACTTCTCTAGATCTGCTTTCTGTTTCTCTAGACATGCACACTTGCTGTTTCTCTAGACAAATATACTCTATCTTTCTCTCGACATGCACACTTTCTGTTTCTCTAGACATACATACTTTATGTTTCTATACACATGCACACTTTCTGTTTCTCTAGACATGCACACTTTCTGTTCCTCTAGACATGCACACTTTCTGTTTCTCTAGACATGCACACTTGCTGTTTCTCTAGACAAATATACTCTATCTTTCTCTCGACATGCACACTTTCTGTTTCTCTAGACATACATACTTTATGTTTCTATACACATGCACACTTTCTGTTTCTCTAGACATGCACACTTTCTGTTCCTCTAGACATGCACACTTTCTGTTTCTCTAGACAAATATACTCTATCTTTCTCTCGACATGCACACTTTCAGTTTTTTGAGACACACATACTTTATGTTTCTATACACACGCACACTTTCTGTTTCTCTAGACATGCACACTTCATGTTTCTCTAGACATTCACACTTTCTGTTTCTCTAGACATAGATACCTTATGATTCTCTAGATATGCACACTTTCTGTTCCTCTAGACATGCATACTTTTTGTTTCTCTAGATGTACACACTTTCTGTTTCTCTAGACACGCACACTTTCTATTTCTCTACATGCCACATGTAAATTTTATCCCCAGTCACTGTTTCTTCCCGCTTGCAGATGTGAGTAAAAACGAAAACTACTAAATTCAATATTTAGGGTCTAAAAAGGAGACATTCAAAACTTCCCACGATGACTGATTATGAATAAATTTGTCTAATTGTTTCATTCATAACCGTGTCCAACAAGGTGTCAGTGAAAGGAATGACGAACGGAAGACTCATCAGAGAAACCACAGCAGGAGTCCACAGTCTCGCAGGCCCGGCAAGGGTCTTGGCTGGCAGGACCTAGGAGGAAAGTTTAACACAAAATAAAAAGGACTATTTTCTACGCCTCCAGGTGTAATTGGACATAGAGGACTAGACCAGTTTTGTATAAAACAATCGTCACTGGGTGGGAGATATGGTCATCCGTGGGACTGCACCTGGTACCGACTCAAAGCTGGGTCGACCTGAAAGCCATGGTCATTAAAAAAAAATATGGCTCCGTCGGGATCCGAACTCACGACGTGCCGATCGTCTAGCCAATACACCACAGAGGCTCTTTAACGGAAAAGTACTGCAATTTGTTTAGTAATTTGTTTAGTCTCTATCACAGCATTTCAATGAACACCAGCCTTCAACAATCCTTGCTTCTTTCTTTTGTCCAATGCTAGTGCAGTAAAGCATCACACAGAGGAGTCAGAGGTAGTCTTCCCCTGTCTTCTGCTAGCCGCGCAGCTTGTGTGCTAAAGGCACATTACGTTTCTGTAGTGTATCTGTTATTCCCTTCACTCATCTCTTTCTTGTCAGCTTCTTGCATTGTCTCGGTGTCTGTGGCTTAGGTGTTGCGAACGCGATTCGCAATGCGAGGGTGCTGGGTTCGGTCCCAGCTGCGGACGATTTGTCTTGCGTTGGTTTCGTTAGTGGTACTCAGAGCTGACCGTTCACATGCAAGACAAAATACTGAACGTAAACTTTGCCTAGAAAAACCACAACAGCAGCAACAACAACAAAAAAAATATGCTAGGGTTGGTTCTGCAACGTCCTGTAAAGGATACACAACTAACTTGCATTGTAGCCCGCTGTTGTCATTTAGTATGCTTTAGCTGCTGACTGATTTTTGTTTTGTTTCACTCTGACCAGACGACTAACCCATTTGATTCACTGATGTTCTATGAAATCATTTACCAGTAGTAGTACTCTGTCCCTGCGGCGTCCGTGGCTAAGGCGTTGCGAATCCGACTCGTAAGCCAGCTTACCGCGATCGAAACCCACTGCAGGCTGCGTGGATTTTTGTCGTGGTATGGGACGTCGCAGGTCGACCCAGCCTAAAATGGGTACCAGGATGGACTGTCCTGGGAAAGTAAAGACAGCCGGCGTAATGCTGACCACATTACCCACCGAGTGCTGATGGTCTGTAAAAATATGGGACGCTCTGCCCATATGCCCGATGCGCCGAAAGGCGTGAAAAGGGATCTTTACTTTTACTTTACTTAGTACTCTGTCCCTGGTTCTTCGTTGGTTACTCCTGTCTCTTCTTGTTTTTTGTTGTTGTTGTTGTGTATGTCTAGCCAGCTCTCTTTGATGTTAATGGTATGGTAATGGTAATCTTAGTTTCAGCTCAATGGCAAACGGGTCACCCCAAAGTTGCTCCGCTCCCGTGCCAACGAAAAACACACAGAATGTTCATCGCAGTCCCTTGTGGAAAGACTGAAAGACTGCTATCTCAGCATATGCACTAGCATACACACGTATTAAAAGCATACGGTAGCCATCAGAAGGGCTAACACAAACAGTCTGACATTAGAAATGCAGTTCATCATCGACAGTAGCAGAGGTAACCAACAAATCAGCAGTTGCACACGCGATCAATTTTAATCATAGAAGGCAACTATTAATATTGCGACGACAGGTCACGCGCCATTTTCTGATCTTACAATTGACAACACCACGCTGTTTACAGTCGAAAAAAATTCCAAATGAAATCCACAGCACACAGGGTCGCACCATGCACTCAACTTGGTAGCTGGGCGACAAAACTATATCCTTTCAGTCTACAAATGGAGCAAAAATGCAACGGTCACCGTCTGGCAGAAGCAAATTAATTGCCACGGCTAAAAACAGTGACCGTGCCTAGCGTCCATTTTGATCGGAAGTCTGCATTCTTATATACTAGATTGAATTAATGACTTAGTCTCTTGGTGGGTTAAGTCACCATTTGATTGTACTATGTTACTGTCGCTTCTGGCCCATCTGTCCGCTATTTCATTGCCTTCCAAGCCACAGTGACCTGGAATCAACTGCAGCACAGACTGTATAATGTTGAAAGTGTTCCTTCGTTTGATATCCAGAAAAGCAATAAGCAGACAAGATGAGGACAGTGTACCTGCCGAGGAGACGTAAGCTTTAAGGAGTATACAAAGAATATCTTGGACGTATATAAAAATAACCAATCTCTTAGAAACAGATTGAAATCGTAAACTGGTAAAGGAAATTTATCGTGGTCGAGCATTGAAGGACAAATTGTGATGAGAAATACATTTGAAAACTTTATGACAGCTGATAAACTAGATTAAAAAAAAAAAAAAGAGTAAAACGGAAGACAATGAGATACCTTTCGGGCTTGTTACAGTGACATGGGGTAAGGCAAGAACATATTTGATCTACGATCGCCGTGCATCATTTTCGCAGAGTTTGCGGTAAAGACAACAGGAAAGGCAGTCGGCCTTGCATCTTAGCTATGCCATGACAATTGTGAGCGTCTAAAACTTCAGCCATTCTGACAGCACTTACCGTACTGACAACAGACTTGATCAAGCTTGCAGTAAAGACCGGTACAGCCCCAGAAGCGATTATTTCATATACAAAAGTGTCCGCCGTCCAAAGCACGATTTTTACTGGAGACTGTGTCTTCTATACTCGGGAAAAGATATTCCATTAGTATTCTTCAGCACTGGTAGACTAACTATGTCATAAATAGTGTGCTTAATACAGTATATATGTCTCCTCTATGTCTCGCTCCCTTTCTATATGTACACAAAAATATATTTAAATATAAAAAGAGAGACAAAGAAATGGAATAATAGATATCTCTCTCTCTCTCTCTCTCTCTATATATATATATATATATATATATATATATATATATATATATATATAGAGAGAGAGAGAGAGAGAGAGAGAGGGGGGTGAAGGACAGACATACATATCTATCATTCCATTTCTCATCTCTCTGTCTACCTACATATTTACATACCGATCTCTCTCCATTCATCCATCTACCCTTCCATCTATTCATCCACACATCTGTCCGTCCGTCTGTCTGTGGAAGTGGTCGCCAACCTTTTTTAAAGATGGTTACCCCTTGAGTATAAGGCAAGACCGCCGCGCCCACCCCAAATTTTAACAAATGTAAAATTAAAACCAAACAGAAATATCCCAAGTACTGTTAACAAGAACTTGGAGAAGAACAGGCAAATAATTCAGAATGTCAAATAACACAGAAATAACCACAACTGGTAATTTAGTGTCCAAATATCAGTGAGGTGGTTGACACTTTTTTTTGGTCTTAAGGACATCTGATATTTGTTGTCTGACGTTGGACAGAAAATTGAAATACTTTGGTCACTTGAAACGTCCCAAGAGTTTAGAGAGAACAATAATGGAAGAGTATATTCCTGGGAAGAGAGGAAGAGGAAGGCCAAAGAGAAGATGGGTGCAGGATGTGACAGATGATCTCCAGATGGGAGTATCGGACGTGGGACATCTTGCATGTGATCGAGACGTTTTTATGGGAGCAGAGGCCAGACTGACTGATGTTGGACATGACACAACAGAGATCACTATCCATATCAAGCTGGTAGCGCGGTTTTGTTTTCATTACTGTTAAAGCTGAAAATCCTGATTGCTACAAGTACAAATAAACCAAATTTAAAAACTGCTTGACGTCCCCTTGAAAACTCCCCCCCCCCCCCCCCCCCCCCCCCCCCCCCCCGCCCCCTTTCCCTCCTTCCCCCTAATTTTTTTTTCAAGAAGCAGACAACTGGGCTAGGGTGTTGAAAAAAAAAAAAAAAAAAGATCAGAAAGAAAATCTCCGGTTCTGTATGTGGTCATTACTATCGAATGTACAGTTCCTGTCGTTTATCTGTCTGGACTCCATTAATTGACGTTCTGTTGAACAGCCAAGTTCTTTCGTCTTAGTTGGTCTTCACGCACTTTTAGGGTCTCAACTCATTTGCGTCTTCAGCCATTTAGGTATGTGTTCTGCAATTATGTCTCCAAGCTGTCTCTCCGTTCGACCAATGTAAGTTATCTGGAACTTACATTTGAACTGATGAATGTAATTAGATTTGGTGTTTTGGGACACTAGTAACGAGTTAGCGAGAAATATGCCAGGCAATAACATCTACAATACATTGTTTGGGTGAATGGTGGTGTGAGGTGAAAGAGGTGATGGGTTTTCGTGGGGAAGAGGGGGGGGGGGGGGGGGGGGGGGGGGGGGGGGGGGGGGGGGGGTCGCTCAAAAACATTGCCACCGCCAAACAAAGGTCATGCAGAATAATTTATACACACCTTGCTAATTTGGAATGGTTTGTACAGAGTGCGGGCAAACACGAAACCAGATGCTACCATATAAAGTCCTCGAACCACGGTGGGTGCTGCCGTGCCACGTACTGCTTCTGCCATTCCGAAGCCGTAGCCTAAATAATTGAAACAATTCTGACAGAATGAGATAGGATGGACAGTACTACAGATAAGATTCTAAATTAAATATGAAACAATTTACAATATGTTAAACTGTAAAGTATAAACCTTTTTGCAACTTTACGAGAGTTGTGCCACCCTTCTCCAGAAAACATAGGGCAAACTATATAGCACCACAGTAAACTACTTAATATATTGCATTTATCGTGAAGGTGATTTCGTCCATACAAACATGAAACGTTTGATACCAGTGTTGCGTACAGAAGTGCCAGTAGGCAGCCGCCGTGGTGTAGCGGCCAGATGCTCGCCTTAAAGGCGATCAGTGAGAATTTGACCACACCATCCACCGAGTGCCGACTCCTCATTAAAATATAATTCTAGCCCTATGAGCCCAACACACATAAAAGTATCGAAAAGGTTTTTTGCTTCTATTTATTCAATGTGTATTGTCCAGCCTTGTGACTCATGGAAGAAAGAACAAGGTAAAAACAAAAATAATAACACACATCAGACTAGCCCCAATCACGCAATACATTTGTCATGGTATTATGTGTATTGTTATGGTATTATAAAACTATTTTTATTTTACGGTATTTGGTGCCTGTATTTATCATATTTAGAGCGGTGTAGGGCGGGGGCGCCGCTGTGGTGTAGCGGCTAAACACTTGCCTGCGGATAGGAAGGTCGTGGGTTCAGATCCTAAGCCAGATTTTTGTTATGACCTTTGCTCTAAGGTTAACCCAGCGTTAAATGGGTACCAGCTACAATCCTGTGAAGTAAAGGCGGCCGGTGTAATGTTGACCACATCATCCACTGAATGTCGATAGGTCTATAAAATATAGGTCTAGCCCGAAATGTCTAATATGCCCAAAGGCGTGGAAAAAGGTCCGACCAAAGGCTAGGACAGAGAGTCGTGAGCCTGAGGTTTTAGGCCCGCATGGCTTGTGTAGTCGCCAAGGCCTGTGCAGGCTAGGATTTTATTTTTGCTCCGACAGAATCACAGTCCATCACTTTACTGAGGATTCAAACCTGCGTTCCCCAGTGAGTGCCAAGCGTTCTTAACTGCTCAGCCAGCCGCTCCCCGGCAATGTGCACAGTTAATAATTATGCAAACAACAGACATAATCAAGAAATATCTCCGATTAACTTACCGCAAAAGCGAAAGGGGTATGCTTTCAGAAAATCGTGACTGTAATGTCCCATTTCGGAATATTTCCTGGATTTCTCTTACATGCTTTCTGCAATGAAGAAACCAAAACAGTTAAACAGTTTTAAAAACGCCGTTTTCAGAAACGGATTATTTTCATAAGAATCGTTGAAATACATGATAAAACGAATGTTGATTCGTAGAATGTAACATCATAAACTGAGCAGAAAGAAAGTTCAACAGAAGCAAAGAAGAAGAAGCGCACAGATACAACCACGCGTGAGTGAGTGAGTGAGTGAGAGAAAGGTTTAATCAAGCCAGCACCGCACAGTGAGTGATAAATACTCGGCGACACAAAGTACCACCATTCGCATTAGAATCACCTGGACATAAGTCCCATTGCGTCCCAAAACCCCATTCAACGGATAGGAGTTATATTTTTTAAAAGTCTTTAAGAGAAACATTAAGCGTAGCCAAAATCGATCACAATAAACAAAAAACCACTGAACTTAAACAAAGAAACGGTTATTTTCATAAGAATCGTTGAAATACATGATAAAACGAATGTTGATTCGTAGAATGTAACATCATAAACTGAGCAGAAAGAAAGTTCAACAGAAGCAAAGAAGAAGAAGCGCACAGATACAACCACGCGTGAGTGAGTGAGTGAGTGAGAGAAAGGTTTAATCAAGCCAGCACCGCACAGTGAGTGATAAATACTCGGCGACACAAAGTACCACCATTCGCATTAGAATCACCTGGACATAAGTCCCAGAAACCCCATTCAACGGATAGGTTATATTAAGTCTTTACATTGCGTCCCAATAGACAAAACAGCAGAATTTAGAAGGTAGGTAGGTAGGTAGGTAGGTAGGTATGTAATTTAGGCAGATAGATTATATCGTGGATGGTGGGGTGAATGGATGAGTGGGTAGCGCAATTGATGCGCGGGTAGACAAATAGACGTAATGATGGCTATACTCTTGGATGGATGGATCGGCTGATATATGAAATCAGCCAAAGACAAGGGTCTCAAGACACGATACTTCTCACTTACTGTCAGCTATAAAATAGAGACAGTAAGGGTGATTGTTATACAAAGTATCAGTCGAACCGAGCGCGGAACTGGTTAAAAAAACAGAGTGTAAGGGAGCCATGGAAAAATAGCTAGGGTGGATGGTGAGGTGAGCAGGTGGTGATATAGATGGGCGGGTAGATGAGTGGATGGGTAAAGGATGGCTATATTGGTGGATGAATGGAATTGCTAATATATAGAATCGGGTAAAAATAGGGGTCTCGTGATAAGATGCTTCTCTCTTACTGTCAGCTATCAAATAGAGACAGTAAGGATGCTTGTTATACAAAAGTAATCAGTCGAGCCCGAGAGTAAGACTGGTAACAACCAGAATGTAAGGGAGCGATGAAGGGATAGATGGGAAAACAGCATGTGTGGATGGTGGAGTGAATGGGTGAGTGTGTCCTGGATAGATGGGTGGGTAGATGAATGGATGGAATGATGGATGACTGTATTAGTGGATGAATGGAATGGTAGATGAATGGATGGGTGGGTAGATGAATGGATGGAATGATGGATGACTGTATTAGTGGATGAATGGAATGGTAGATGGACGGATGGATCGACCAAATATAAGATGAGGTAAAAACATGAGTCTAGTAACACAGTGCTTCTCTCTTACTGTCAGCTATCAAATAGAGGCAGTAAGGGTGATTTTTATACAAAGTATTAGTCAAGCCCAAGTGCAAAGCTGGTAACAGCCATAATGGAAGGAGGCGGTGAAAAATAGCATTTTGAGTGGATGGTGGGATAAATGGTGTGGGTAGATGAATGGGCGGGACGATGGTTACGTTCGTAGATAGATGCAATGGTAGATGGATGGATGGATCTGCCTATATGTATGTTGATATATTTAAACAGGTCTGTTGCTTTGTTTTAGTATCCAGAAGCCATGAGTTGTTAACCCTTAGGCTCGGTATTATAGAAATCGCAACTTTTCGGCCTTGATTCCATTTTAAATACCGTTTAAATGAACTACAGCTTATGGGAGTCGGGTTTTCTTGTTATCAATGCCCTTTGGGTGCGAGTGACTGTGCGGAGTCATACATGGTGGCGTCATTTGTGACGAATAGGTTGTACTTGCTGTTAAATGTGTATTCTTTAGACAAACATGCGTTTCTGTAGCTTGGCAGCCAGTGAAATCGTTCGCAATCCCCAGGATTCACATACCTGTCAGAGGGTTCAATTCCCACAGATCACGGGTTCGGGGGGGGGGGGGGTTGAGACCAGGCCCTTGTATTTTCAAATAGTGGTATCAGTCGCATCGTGCAAGATACTGAAGGCATCACTAAAGACAGCGGTCGATGATACATTGCAGTCAACCTCCATTTTACAATTACTTATAAATTTATGCTAACAGCCTGACATTTGTCTAGAAGAATTATAACCATGCCCTTTCCTAGTCTAGTTTGTTAATCGCAAACCATACAATAGTTTATACAATACATCATTATCGGTAAGTTGCCCCTGGTGTAGCGGCTAGACGCTCTAGCCGGGTCGTGGGTTCAGGTCCTGACGGAGACAAGACTTTTAAAAAAAAAATGACCTTGGCTTCCAGGTCTAGCCAGCCTCAAACGAGTACCAGGTAAATCAGTGGGAAGTAAAGGCGGCTTGTGTGGTGCTAACCACATCAACCACCCACAACGTGTCGATTGGTCTATTAAAAATTGGGCTCTCCTCCGAACTTCGTCCTAATATTATGGCGGCCATAAAATATCCTTGTGGGGCTCAGTTCTATTAAAAATATGCCGGATCCGTATAACGAAACAAATGCCGACCGTATACTCACCCCCCCCCCCAACGCCTGCCCCGCGGCGCGGATGGGTGCTAAACTAGATGGCTGGGACTCACGAGCAGCAGCTACCGCATCTCCCGCAACTTCCTCCAGTTAATTTGCTCGTGAGTCCCAGGCACCTAGTTTAGCCCCCCATCCGCGCCGCGCGGGGGATACACTCGGCGGTGAGTTTTATCGCGTTTTTTGCGCATGCCAAAACGTGTGAGGATACAGGTCGGCAGGTCTGACATCTACCGCTGCTAAATCCTCAATCGGACTAACAGTATTGCTAATCTGCGTGGGAGCGCGTGGTCTACCCGCCATATCGCTTTCATCGTCTGTAATGTCCCGAAATTGTTGATAGTCGCTATTATCGTCTGCTAGTATCGTCTGCAGAAACACTCGAAATTGTCAACGGTCGCTTTTATCGTCTGCTACTATCGTCTGCAATGTTGCGTCTCTTGAAATTGTCAAGTAATCCTAGTTTTGCCGCGATTTGTTCCTTGGCAGAAAGTCCGCATTTTACAGGGATATTTTATGGCCACTATAATATCAGGACGCCGTTCGGAGGAGAGCCAAAAATTGGTGTGGCCACATATGCCCAACCCAAATACGCCTGAATACATGGACAAAGGACCTTTACTTTTTAAAATATCATTATGAAGTGAAGTGACAACCTTAGATCAAAGAATAACATTGAGACATTTTTAATGTAAGGAATTTTTACAGAATAATTATGAGAAAGTTCAAGTAGATTAAAAAAAATGGGGAGTGTTCCTAAAAGAAAAAAAAAGAAAAAAAAAAAAATAAAAACAGTGAACTGGAGACATGGCATGAACTAGCGAACGCACGCGTGTTAAGGACTTTGAGGGGGAAAAACTGGCCTATGATGCTACAACGGAAAAGTTGTCAGGCAAGAGAATCAGGGAGAGACCGAGAAAGAAGATGTTACACCTTTTGGTATCATGGTGACATGAAAAATGTGGCATTGTGAGGGACAGAAAGCTGTGGACAGACATAATGACAAAAAGACACCCAGCTATAGACAACAAAGGAAAACACAACACTCACCTTAACGGTCACCATTGGTAGAGCTGTCAGATCACTGTTTACAGCAGTGCGCTTTTGGGAATTTCCTTTTACACATGTGAGAACGGTGGTGACAGATATGCTCCTTTCAGAGTTGAGTTGAGTCAAGAACTGATTTTACAACACATGGGGCATTCCCTTACGCGCTCCTTCCCCATCATCAGCAGCCAGTACTAATGGTGCCAGTCGTAGTCTGGTAGTATGTCCGTCCTCCCTTTCCTCTGAAGGTAGTGCGCCGGTCCAACCATGGGCGCCCACAGAGGGGGAATAGGGGGCACTTGCCCCCCCCCCTGGATTGATTGAAAATAGTCATTCTTTCCTTGCCGCCTGAAGCAAGTGCCGCATCCGTAAACTCCGGGCGTCGTATTGTATTTACCAAAGCAAATACTCCTGTAACCTTTATATAAATAAACTTGTGAATCGAGCCGTGAGTATTACTAAACCTTACCATACATTAACTATATTACATGCTCTCCTTAATGTCAACCGCAAATGCGAAAATTGGCCGACAAGCGTGGGACCTTCCGATATCAAAATTCTAGTCAATTCCATCTTCCACGCACGCCGCCGCCAAAAAAAGTATGAGAAAAATATAAATCATTTATTTTAATTACATATGATTTTGAAGTCGACATGTCAGGAAGTGGAAAACGTTGTTAATCGCTGTTGTTAAAAGGTGCCTTTTGCATTTTCTGTGTTTTATTTCCGCAACCAGTTCACAGAGGAATTCAAGGTGCCTTCATTACTACTCCTTGTACAAAGATTTTAATGAATGTGCCAGAAACCATACCAGCTCAGCATGACATCGTGGGTCTCAACAAGATGCTGAACACTTCGCGTCAACCATTAGAGATCTAAAAAAGGATATTATTTGTCAGATAGATAATTCTGTAAAACGAACTATTGAAGAAAACAGAAAGAAACTGTATCCTATTATTTCAACAATCTTATTTTTAGGAACAAATGATTTGGCAATTCCTGGGAAAGATAGCACCAAAAGAAATGTCCAACAACTTAATGCGTATCGAATTGAGGGAGGAGACAGTATTTTAAAAAACCATTTTGATACAGCTGCTGGAAATGCACGTAACACATTACACCGAACGCAGAATGATTTT